CTCGAGCACTTGGACATGACTTGAACGAACTATTTACTCATGAGAATTACTTTACCTTCTCTGTTCTTGCTGCACACATATTGCTTCTCCTTTAGTATTTGTTATTAGGCCAATTGAATAGCAAAAAGTACTATTTTCCAATGTGTGTACTTGATAGAACTTAAATATTCCTGGTGTTGCAATATGTTAATCGACGTGTATCTGAAATTCCTTTAGGTATGGTAAGATGAAGTACTTTTTCCTGCAGCTAATCCAAATTTATCTGATGTAACTTAAAGGATTCTGTAGTTAATTAGATGATGAATATGGCTTCTTCAACTCAATTTGCTCCCTCGAGAAGGATGGGTATATATGATGCCGTGCAGCAGATGAGCATGTGGGAAGACACATTCAGGGCTCACATGACACCAGACACAGGTGTCTCCATATTCACAAAAGCGGATCCAAGTCTAAGTAGCAAGGTGAAGCCTTATTACTTCTTAATGAAATTGCCAAATTTAGACTATTACTATATGGCTGACTTCTATTGGAATTCCGTAGTCTGAATGTACATCCAAGGAACCATTGATACCTCCCATAGAGAGTCAAGCAACAAGAAGTATTTCCGATAAGGTGATTTCAAAGATTACCTCCCCCCCTTTCTTTCTAGTGCCATTATTCAGGGATGTCTATGCAGACCAATAAACTGCAATATGTATTGGTTTAATCCACATTAGTTTATGAATAATCATGACAATGCAGCAGTATAGCTAAACAACTTGGAATGGTAGAAAGCAAATCATGAAGTCACTAAATAAGGATCAATATCTGCTGACAGGTACTAAGACGTCTCGCACAGAATCGTGAAGCTGCCCGTAAAAGCCGTTTAAGGAAAAAGGTATGCAACTGCATGCTCATACGATATCTACTCGAGCAATATTTGGAGAACTTCATTTGAAACATGGTTGAACTCTTTTCACAGGCTTATGTTCGGCAACTGGAAACCAGCCGTTTGAAATTGGCCCAATTGGAATTGGAAATTGACAGAGCTAGACAGCAGGTATATATATTATGATCATTTTAACAAATGACCAGTAGTCATTCTACTTACTCCCTATTCCCTAACATTTCAAGGGATGACATATAGGGTGCCTGTATTGGAGGTGCAGTTGCTAATGTGGGATTTACTGGAAGTATAAATCCAGGTACATGAATTTAATTTTGTGTCATTGGTCCTATCACTCAGGCATATCACTCTTCTAATTTCATAAACTTCATTTGGTTATCTACTTCAATCCATATGCAAGCCATAATCTTGGAATTTTTACTCAGAATATGATTTTTATGTACTTACAAAATGATAATCAAGGCAACCAGTAACATGAGAATCTATGGAGCGGCTCATTCACTTGCTTGTGGCTTAGCATTGCTTTTTGTTGGTTGTTGATTCTGCATAAAGCTCTCAGGTATAGAAAATCAACAGGGAAAGAGAAGATAACAGAGTTCCCTCAGATAATCCACTGAGATTGCAAAGGATATTATCGTGATTGAGAATCTTTCGCAGAGTCTCTGATCAACTTATCTGAGTTAGTAGCCATGTGAGCTAATAGTCTAAATCAATTAACCATTCACACTCTACAATTTTTTTCCCCGAGGAAAAGTTGGACAGCAGAAAGTTTTATGAAGTTTGACATCATTTTAGGCATGACATGAGATCATTTTTCAGTTGTTTAGTATTAGCAAGTGATGAAGCATATTAATTTCTCTATGCATACCAATTATGACTAGATAAACATATGAGTCGTGATTTAAACTTCCCATGATTTGTCACTTCTTGAGGAAATGGATTTCTTATTTTGTCTGTGTTCTGTTAGTCCTACTTTTTGCTAATAGAGATTTCTGAGAGATTGCCAAAGCACAGTATTTAGCTTGCTGTCCAGATGCATTCAATCCAACTTGGGTTGATTTGGAGATTCTTACTTTATTTTTCTAGGAATTGCTGCTTTTGAGATGGAGTATGGTCATTGGGTAGATGAGCAACAGAAAAAAACTTCAGAACTCAGGAATCTTTTGCAGTCTCCAATAAGTGACTTGGAGCTAGTAATGGTTGTAGACAATTTATTAAACCACTATCATGATCTCTTCCGGATGAAAGCAGATGCAGCCAAAGCTGATGTCTTTTACTTGGTGTCTGGTGTCTGGAGAACTTCAGTGGAGCGCTTTTTCCAGTGGATTGGAGGGTTTCGTCCATCAGAGCTTGTAAATGTAACTCACGGTTCATTCCATCTGCATAATTTTTCATCTCTTTTTAACATCATCTGATTAGTTGGTCTTTCTACCACACATAGAGCTTATGTATATAATTTCTTAGACTTCAGACAACATAAGGAAGCATAAGTCAATATCTTATCAGATGTCTTCTAAATTGGAGGAGCTCCAATTTAGGGATATATCTAACAAGCGATAACGTATTGTTCATAACACATAAGCCTCATTCTACTTCCACACATACAGGGAAGATTTTAATTTTATGAAATTACTTCCAAGTTATGAGTCCTTGCGAAACAGCTTGATAGAATTCGTGTTTGTAACAGATTTTAATGCCAGCACTGGAACCCTTGACTGATCAACAGCTTGTTGATGTTTGTAATCTGCGTCACTCATGTCAGCAAGCTGAGGATGCTCTCTCACAAGGAATTGACAAGCTACAGCAGAATCTGGCTCAAAGCATTGCAGCTGATCCAATGGTAGTGGGGAATTATGGTTCCCAGATGGCTTCTTCTATAGAGGACTTGGAAGCACTGGAGACCTTTGTTAACCAGGTAATATGATCTTAGTTTACACCACAAAAGAATCTATGAATATTCCCAGTCTGTTTATCTTCCAATTCGGTCTAGTTTGTGGGAGATCAGTTCAGTAACAAAAATAAGACCTGCCACCATTGTTTCATATGTCTGACATGCAATGAACATCCAGAAGAAACTGCTTTTGTCGATTTCGTTTGGGTAACCAAGAAAGGGAGAGAACTTGGGAGCATGCCTTAATAAGGAGTTAGGTTATTTATCCAAAGCATTAGTTCTGGGCCTTTAACCATCTCCTGACGTCTCACTAAAACAAGTGGATGTGTAAGTGTGGAATATGCAAAACTGGATATGTACATCTATTAGGCATGGCTGAGATCAGGATAAACTCATATTTTTTCACTTCCACAATCTCATGTATCAGAATAGGTCCAAGGTCCCTTGGCAGTATATAGCCTGTCACAGAAGTTTCTTAGTTTGAACAGATGTGGTTTTTTACTAAAAAAAAAAAAAATAGTATACGCTTGTTCAAGCACCACTTCTTCTTGTAGCAACAAATGCTTAGAGGAACTTTTTGGTCAAGAAGAGGACTAATTTTTTCTCGTAGCAGAATACTTGTTCCTAGACTTTTGTCCAGAATTTGGAGATAGGAGCAAATCCCTTGCAATGCATATACTAGAAAAGATGAAAAAAAAAATTACTAAACTGCATTGAACTGACACCATATATTGTAGGTTGAATTAGTCATTTGGCTGTATCCTTAAAAGCTTTGTCCATTGCCAGATTTATTGACTTCTCGACTGGAAGTCCAAGTCCTCTATAAATGCATATTTTTTGATAAACAACAATCACACTTAGTGAAAGGTATGCCCAGCATGTATAAAATAGCTAGGGCCAAAGAAGTAAATGTCTGCACTTGATCAAGCTAGCTTGTGGTTTTAGCTACAAATCACAGGTTTTTCCTGCTAGGTGAACTTCTTTTCTTTTAATGATTCTCTTTGATGCCACAGACTCAACATCAGATTGCTAGTCTAGAATTGATCCACTGGAGTGGATTCTGCTGTCAACGAAAATAATATCATTATGTGGAAAATAGGTTAAGAGAATATACCAGTTTACTCCTCAGCAGTTTCGACCATTGTTGCTTATGACTTGCTTGTCATTAAACAGGCAGATCACCTTCGGCAGCAAACTCTGCAGCGAATGTCTAGCCTCTTAACAACTCGCCAGGCAGCAAGGGGATTGCTTGCTTTTGGGGAGTATTTCCAACGTCTCCGTGCTCTTAGCTCACTTTGGGCTGCTCGACCTCACGATGCAGCAGCCTAGCCATCTACAACAGGAACCATATTCGAGCAGAATATGTAACCAGAATTTTGCTTAGCAACACTACCATGTAAACCTATTTGTATTATAGCCACCTTGTCGTACTTATATGTTCAGAATGTGTATACATGTATTAAGATGATACAATCATATTTCTATAGTTCCTCAGTTTGATCTTCAGAATGCTCAATTCCTGTCTCGACTATCCTAAACGCAAAATGCAGAGTTTTCTTCAGAACCCTTTATCAGGGAAACTAACAATTGAATGCATCTACATTTATAAGATCAGCATACATAGAAGAAAGATACCAACATGGAACCAACTCTGCTGCGGAAAGATCTGTTCAATTGTAGCCACCAAAATGGATCGTTCTTGTTTTCATTAACTCTGTGTTATCAACAAACAATTAAGAACATCAACAGGGATGATGATGCTGAATGCCATTTTATGGTACTTTAACAGCCCAGCTCTCTAGCATGACTATTATGGCCAATAGATCAGAAAGGTTGAAAAGGTCTAATAGGAGATGATGCGACTGCCAAAAACCAGATCCGAGCTGGGCTGTGGCGAGCCGAGCTGAGCAGGCGCGATCGACCTGAGAGAGGAAGCCGAGCTAGCGTATCTACAAAGAAAGATCAAGTGCGGGACTGGTGTCCCCGAAATATCTCCGACGATCAAGTCAGTGAGCTTGTACACGGGGCAATAGTCTAGAATACTTGTGCTTGCGTACCTTGTATTGTCCTTACGCTAGCTATATATAGAGCAGAATGGGTTGTAGTTTCCTTGTTGGAGTCAGTGTCCCTTAGGATTCGGAGTCTTCTTAGGGTTTCGTGCGGCGGCTCCTACAAGTTCGGAGGCGGCGGCCCATAGGCCCATCTTAGGGAGCAACAGGTGAGGCCGAGCTGGCATCCGCACGCCGAGCTGGTACCCGTGAGTTGTGAAGTCTCCACCGCCGACCCAGCGCGTACAACCTGCCGAGCTGATACGTGTCACGTGCAGATTTGCCCCACTACAGGAGACAATCTTCTCTTCATTTTTTGAATTTTTTGAGTCCAAGAAGTTTTACTAGATCGAGATGTTTTCAACTCAACTTCTACGTTTCAGGAAATTGTCTCAAAACCTTTTTAAAGAAAAAGAAAGAAAAAAAAAAAAGAGTTCACTGTTTCTATTTTGGTAATGGTGGTATTGAATGGTGGGTATACTTGTAATACGACTATATTTCCCAACTGTCAACTAATTTTGGAGCCAAACTATCCACAAAATAAAACGTAAATATTTTCCCACCAAAAAAAATAGAAAAGAGACAAACAAAAAGTCCGCACAGATTCACAAAGATTTCAATAATTCTTCAGCTCTTCACTTCCTTCACGCCTTCAACCATCTGAAACTATTTAATCAAATAAAAAAAGAAGAAAAAAAAAAGGAAAAAGCAGAGTTCAGAAGCCCTAATTTGCCAATTGAGCCTTGTTTGAAGCAATTCAAGTGATCTGCATCAGTTTTCTGTTAGAGAAACGGGAAAAATGAGTAATTTGAGAGCAATTTGTAGGCCGTACGCAGTGTTCTCTTGTTGCCGATCAGTGGTTAGGGTTAGGGTTTCAATTGGGAGCCCTTTTAATTTGGGGTCTCCATCATTATCACCGAAATCTTCTGTTTCCGTATTTTTATCTCCTCCGCCGTTGTTAGGGTTGGATTCTGCCATAAAAATGGAACCTTGGGCCACCAGATGGAGATTGAATCAGCAGAGAAGAATGGGGGTTAAGGCTTCCTCAAATTGGACAGACTCTAAATCTCCCTATGACACCCTAGGTAATTTTTCCTTATTCATATTGCTTTACCTTTTTGCATATATATATATATATATATATATAATTGTCGTAAAAACCTTGATAAATATATTGTTGTTTATATTTAGGTTGTTAGGTAAAAGAAATGAAGGTGAATTGTTATCCAGTAAAGTAAATCAAAGAAATGTTTTTATTTTCTTTGGTTGAAATGTGGGGTAATTTCTATACTAGGACATCGAGAAAATATATTTCGGAGGGATTCTTAGAACAGGGGGGGACTACTTTATGACTCTCTTAGTGTTCTAGAGACGGCTTAGGATAGAGATTTCGCAAAATTTTGATAATCATACATCTTTTGTAATATATGAGTTGTTACTTATATGATATAGTAGCTAATCAAGCTTGCTTTTGTTCTGTTTTTCCAAATGCCTAGAAAATGGGCATTTGTTTGATTAGAGAGGAAGATGGTTTCTTTCTTCTTCTTCTTCTTTCTTTTTTCCCTTTTTTCCTCTCTCTGTTCTTCTTCTTTCCCTTCCATTTTCTTAGTCTTTGTAGCATTCTGAAAGTGATGAGTGGATTCTGTTACCTCAGAGTTGGAAAGAGATGCAGATGAGGAGCAAATAAAGGTAGCATACAGACGTTTAGCAAAGTTCTATCATCCGGATGGTTAGTACCTAACCTGTATAATGTTGTTGTGCCTCATCTAATTTTTCTGTTACTTCATATATATGTATATATATATGTATATATATATATATATGACTATATTATTTGCATTCAATATGTTCGAATTTAAGGATGTGTATGAGTACCATTGATTTTTTTTTAATAGTCATCTCAGTTGATAAGTCATTACTCTTGCATAGATATATTTCAATTTGTTTTCACTTCCATTGGTTCTTTTTTTATATTCTAATTTATGGTTTAACTTAGTGTTGATGTCACTTGAGTAGAAAACTGGCTGTTGGCCTGTTTGTGTTTCTTGCTATGCATACCTGCTATTAGTTCCTTTCTCCGTTAGTGGTAATTCTATGCTTAATGCTACTGTTATTTAGATGGCATAGGGTTTGGATTTGTGAGTTGTCAATGTTAAAGTATGTACAATAACCTGCATGCTATGTAAATGTTCAAGGCTTGCTGTTGCTGGGTATGATTCATGTATTTTGAATTTATAACTGAAGAAGTGTTTCATGTTTGTCCATATACTTGGTTTCTCGGGTCATTGAAGTATAGGGTGCTCTCATATGTATTGTAAAAGCTGCTGTTGGAAGATTCTGGATATAGAATCATCCTGTTCTATTAACTTTTTGTGTATATATAGTGTGAATCAATGTGTATTTGGTTATTTGTCCATAGGTTTTATCTTGAATGATTTCAATTCCTGTTCTCTTTACGCGATTTAAAAAGAATTTGGTGAATGTGGGAACAAAACCCTATTGAATATTTCTCAAGAGTTGTATGTATCATGGTTATGTATTGACATGAAATGTACTTTAGTCTGTATAAAGCTTAGTCTATTAACTGTTCACTAAAAAAAAGACAGAGATATTTTTACTTAAGGTATGTTGCATCTTTAATTTCTTTCTGAAGTTTTGAATGCAACAAGTAAATTAATTTCCCGAAAGCTTTCAAACTTTGACATAATTGTTAATGATGTAACTAATCCCTTTCGTGTTATCCATGCCAGTTTATGATGGTAAAGGGACTCTTGAGGAAGGGGAAACAGCTGAAGCTCGATTTATCAAGATTCAGGCTGCATACGAGTTGCTTATAGATCAGGAGAAGCGAAGGCAGTATGACAATGATAATCGTGTTAATCCAATGAAGGTGAAATTTATTTCATTATCAATTCAGGGTTGAATGGTTAGGTATACTGTTGTTAGGAAATATTAAACACACAATTATCCAATTTATAATGTTATGGCTCACAGAGGAAATAGGTAGGCTTTCCATAAACCATAGAGCTAGTGGGTGCAGTTATACAGCCGTTCTTCACTTTTAGTCCTTTGGCATACCACACTTGAAGGCTTTGGCAGACCTAAAATAAATAAACATCCAATCTTATAGTTATATTTTCTACTTTACCTTGTGAAGCTAGATAGAACTCTAGGAAGTGGCATCATTCACATTTCATTGAGAGCCCTAATGATGCATATATCAACTAAACATAGCTTTTTCTGGATGTTAATGATACTTGAAAGCCAAAATATTTGTATAAAAGGTTTGCAATTCTATCTGCCATCTGATACAAATTTCTAAAATGATTTACGTACTCCCTTAAGACATCCATTTGCTGACTTAGCTAGTTTGGAGCATGTCAACAATCGTCTTGTTGCTAAGTCCTCCTTTCCCAGGAAAAAATAAATTTTAATAGATTTACAAAAATGCAAAATATGAACTGGTATAAGTTGAACAGAGATTGGAAAATCAAAGATTCACTTGCACAGAAAAATAGAACTATTTGAACAGGAATTGTCTCTCAGTTTTCTTTATGGTACTTTTGGCTTTTCTACACATTTGGGAAAACCAGTTGGTTTGAAAAGGAGTTTAAAATGTAGAGAATAGTACTGGTTTATGGACAAATAACTTGTATTCATTTTGGCTTTAATTCTTCAAATGGGATATATAATTCTCCACCCTCTAGCTTTCAGAGAAATTTCTAACTTTGTGATGAATTTTAAAAAAATTCTACAAAAGGGGTGATTTTGGCGAGAGAATCCGTCGGAGGGTCTTCGCATTTCACGAATGCGAGCTCTCTCAGTAGAGCTCGCATTTCTGGAATGCGAGCTCTTCTGAGCCCAGAAGTTGCTTACAGAATGCTTTATATTACAAATTGACTCGAAACGCCTAAATGATTGTTGTATTCAACCTAAGGCCAAAACATCACCAGGACTAAAACATCAAAGTCCGCATGGCAGTGAAAGTTTTTGTATTCTGGAGGCTGAAGTAATCAATACAATCATTACTACATAAGTTAAAGTTATTGTGGATAGATCTTTATATTTGTTGCAATAATTAAGATGACGATTATTTCACAAGTAATAGAGCTGTGAAAAAGTAACTTCGGCATGTTTTTCATCCTGTGATTATATGTTGATCTGCTTAATCTTTGAACAGCATCCCTGTAGAACTTCACTCCTGTCAGAGTGCAAATATTGCAGCATATTTTAGACACCTTTAGGATCTTGATTCTTGCAAAGAAGAAATAAAACCCAAAAAAAAAAAGAAAGATTTCAAACTTATATTCTTGAAAAGAACGCTTCTATACCAATTAAGTATGATAACATATAACACAAATAATGCACCTGTTCTTCATATGCATCCACAATTCTGAGAGCTCCTTTGTGTGTAATGGCTTCACAAGATAGTTAGTAGCCCCAAGTCTCAAGCCTTTTTTTTTTTTCCAAACACAGCTCGCATTCGTGGAATGCGAGCTCACATTGGAGCTCGCATTCGTGAAATGCGAGCTCAATGAGCTCGCATTCCCAGAATGCGAAGACCCTCATCTGTAGAAACAACTCCAACAATCGCCCTCGTTGTAGAATTCTTTTTTTTTTCCATCATAAAATAAGAATTCACCCCTAGCTTTCATAGCATGATCTGAATATGTTCTTGATCCATTTTGGCATTAGGCATCTCAAGCATGGATGGAGTGGATCATGAAAAAACGAAAAGCATTTGATCAGCGGGGTGACATGGCAATTGCAGCCTGGGCTGAACAGCAGCACCGTGAATTAAATCTCCGTGCACGGCGTCTTGCCCGATCAAAGGTGTGATATATCGCCCCTGGTATATCTATTTTAATTCTTGAATGCGTACACGATGGTTTTAGAGAGAGAGAGAGAGAGACCATTTTTCTGTTTCTCGCTAAATATGGATGACTGCTTCACTAAAGTATGCTCAGGACAGCTGCATGAAATTTGTTGGTAACATGCTCAGTCATTATGTCTTTTAGACGTGAGGAGTAAAGGATAATCTGTCTGACTTGGCACTGTCATTCTCTTTATGTTTGTTTCTTTTTCTGTTTACCATTTCGTCTCAATTTCATTAAATGCTTGTTTAGACTGTAATTGTTATCTGAGGATGTATCTTTGAATGGGATTTCCAGATTGATCCTGAAGAAGAAAGGAAAATACTCGCTAAAGAGAAGAAGGCATCTTTGGAGAATTTCAATAATACTCTGAGGCGTCATACACTGGTATTAAAGAAGAGAGATTTAATGCGAAAAAAAGCCGAAGAAGAGAAGAAAAAAGCCATCAGCAGGCTTTTGGCTGCTGAAGGCCTAGAGCTTGAAAAAGATGAGAATGAAGATTTGTAAAGGTTGATCCTTGTGTCTGAATTCTGGTACTTAAAACCATACAATGTTATCAGAGGGCTTTTCAGGCAAAGAAATCTGTTGTATTGTATATAAAGAAAAGGACATTGTACATACGGATTTTCGGTTGATATAAAGAAGATTAGTGAATACAGCACCCTTGAGATTGTTTCAATCTCTGCATCCCTTGCAATCGTTCCATTTTCAGGAGGATTACCTAGCCATGCCTGGCCAAAGACAAAATACACTTCCATGGAAAAAACGAATGCTGTCTACCCGGCCATGCCTGGTCAAAGCATTTGACAACTTGCTGGGTTGATATTCATCATTGATGAATGCAAAAAAAATTAGACCTTGTAGAATGTTAGTGCAAGAAGTTAGGCAACGACCATTGTCTTTATTGTTTTCTAGATTTATCCAACAAATGAATGTTCTCCCAAATATACTATGAAGCCCCCCCCCCCTCTCTTCTTCTCCTCCTCTTATAAATGCTTCTCTAAGTACGAGGAGGATTAAGCCACCAACTGTTGTTGGCGCAGAGACTATACACCAGCTTCCTTTATATAAGCTGAATGTCTATCCACCAGAAGTTCAACAAGGGGGCTCTCCACCTCAGCCCCTGGCTGAGCCTTGTCTCTGCGAACTACTATATTTCCACTCTTTGCAACTACGATCACTTCATCTTTACGGGTTGAAAGCTCATTAGCTACCACCATATGTACCTTGTTCTTTTCGAGAGCCATGGCAGCCTTTGCTAAAAGGATATTTGAATCTGTCTCCAGCTGTCAAAAAAAAAAAAACACCATCATTTGGTTTCGTATATCAGCAAAACAAGAAAATCCATGTACTGAAACATCTTTGACAATTGCATGTTTTAGATGAATCATGACTACATTTACTCTTATATCTGTGCATCTATAATGTAGAAATGAGATACTAACTGGAAACAAAAGCATAACTCTAGAGATCATCCCACTTCCAAATTAACTGAGGTTCAGAATTATTTTAAATTATCTCATAGAGCTGAACGTTTGTGAGAGAACAGTAACTCCTCCCAAGTTCCCTTTTCCTGTTACCTAAAACTTTTGTGCCAAATGTTGTAATTTATTTCATAATCTAATAGGTGTTGTTGAACATAAGCTAGAAGCAAAGACAAGCTAGGACCGAATATCAACCTTGAAGGATATGCAAAAAGCCATTGGTGCCCAAGCTTTCCTCAGCACTGAAATCATTTTAGGGACCTGAGCAAGTCGTATGTCTAGAGGACCAGATGCTGACTGAAGTTTATGTTCTGTCTGCAAAATGAAACCGAAAAAAACAACTTACCGGATAAACAAACTCCTTCACGTTTTAGGAGAGGACTAAGAATTAACATAAAATATTTATATGATGGTAAAATGGTTCAAATTAACATGAAATATATTTTCCAAACAATATTGATTCCCTCCCCACTGTGTTAGTCAATCGTAGCAGGCGAAGAGTGAAGGATAACAGAAGAAGTATTAGCAATGGAGCAAGCGAAGCAAAAAATTTACAAAGGAACATTGGAAAAACTTAAAAAATGTTTTAAATCAGGATGCTTTTTACAGGCATGATATAACAGACTAATAGACTCCCATAAACCATAAAAGAAACATCTAAATCTAACAAGATCACCTATATAATTAGTTCTCAGAAAAATCTAACTTGTCTTTCTCAAATCTTATGCTGTTGCCTAGATTACCCATATTTGAGCATTTTTATTACTCAAGAATTTGATTAAACAGAGCATGGATTTCAATATCTCATTGACATTATGGACAGGTTTAACAGGCAAAATAATAATATTAACATGGATTACCATTTTGTATCACTAAACCTAGCAGTAGATTACATACTATTGGACATGCAAAAGCAATTGAGACATCAGGATGAAGACAACTGCAAATATTGGGGGATGAATGGTGAATGCGCATAGACACACCCAAGGGATGGTGAGGGAAATACCAGTAATTCCCAAGGGACATAGAAGTCAGACACTGCAGCAGCAAAATAAAACATAGCACTTCGTCCAAGTTTGCTGACTGAATCTGCAATCAATTGTAAGATCTGCCAAAGACATGATGAATGATAAGCTTTACCAGACAAAACATGTAACCTCCCTGGTCATCATGTGAGCTATAGGAATCCCATGGAATAACTCGCAGCTGAAGTCTGAAGATACTCATGGATTACTAATTACATGTGAAACCAGATGTTACATACTAACCTGAAGATACTCAAAAATTGTTGTGAAAGGTAGTTTCAACAAGTTGCCTCCCACTACTGCCTGCATATTCAATTGGCATCTCTAAATTATAGAGAATATAGATGAATGATATAAGTCAGAAATAGCATTTATACATACCGCACGATGTTCACTGATGGCTCTCTTCACCACTTCAGCATGTGATGGGTGCACTGGCATATAGATGCATATTAATCCATCAAAATCCAAAGTTAGACAAACCCAAAAAATTGTTTCATATATTCAATATGGAAATAGATCTGCAAGACAAAAGAAACTGCAAAACAGTGGCATACACTCAACAAACATCTTAGACAGCCAAGACATTTTAAAATAAAAATAAAAAAAAAACCCAGAAGATAAATTCGTATGTATAAGGACAAAGTAAGATTCATTTCCTTCTTAAGTATGTGAATAACATGCAATGCAACAGACTAAATGCTTTTACATCTATGAGATGCTCCTCTAGTGACATTATATGACTGTAGCACAAGAGTAGCTGGTACAAAAGAAAAAGTCTACATCAGAATAGTTATGCATGATTAACACACTGTAAGTAGTGCAGGTCATTCACTGAAAAGTATCTTAAAGCATCCCCAGATGTTATGCCTACCATGCTTATTCAACTAAATGCACTGAACTACGTAGATTTCTCTTAAATTAAACATAGAAACCACAAACCTTGAATTTTAGAATCATCCGTAATATCAAAACATTCAAGTAATGGATCATCAGGAAGAGATGAACAGTATGGCTGACAGCTTCCTCTACATATAGAATCCAGTTATCATCATTACTTTCAAACAAAAAAGAAGCATAGACATTGTTGTGAAGGAGAAACCAGGATTAATTACACAAAAAACAAAAACAGGAGGTATTGAAGCACACCTACGATACAGAAAGATGACAGAATAACCAGCCTTCAAAAAGTATCTGCATAATCACCATTCAATTTATCAGCAATATATCCACTGTATTGGGTGTAAATCAAGCAAGTAAATTAAACCAGGCGATTTACTCTGTGGATGCAGCTCCTCTATGTCCAGAGCTAAAGTTGTCAATGTAACGAACACATCGTTGCTCCAAAGGAACTGTAGTACCACCAGATGTCACACACACCACCCTTGTAACTCTTCCATTCTCTGGAAATTATCATCAAAATAATAGACCAAAGACATGTTAACTACAAAGAGAGAAAGTAGCCTAATAACACCATGCATGCATATTGTCGATTGGAATGCTAATGCTTGCCTGGTGTTGAAGAATTCCTTTCAACAAATTCTTTCAACTTTCTGCTGATTTCATCAGCATCCTTCAAAGGAGGAGCTGAATCAAAGAAGGACTTGATTTCCACTGAAGGAGTTTCTTGTAATACTTCCGAATGTGTTGCATCCATAGAAGATACTTATCAAAACCTCTATGCACAGTTCCCAGCATTTACAATCCAAAATAAGTCCGATGCATCAGATTCAGAAATACAATCAACTCTCTAAACATGTCAACAAACAAAGAATGACACGACCCAAGTTGAAATAGCCATATTCTTAATGTTATTTGCTTGAGAGAATTGCATCTGCTACATGGCTTCCTTGTGGTAAAAGAATCAAGAGCTATGCATCTTGGGAGTTATTGTGCAGCTTCAACAGGATAAAGAGCCATTAGTATCAACAGCTAGTCATGCACAATGATACACGATTCCATGCTTGCCCTTTTCAGTGGCACAAACCGACGAACTATCCACAGGGGTTGGTTAAGATAAACCATCTAGCTTAAAGCGTGCAGACGGGCAACTACCATATCTAGATATAGTCCCAGTCAAGACTCCAAAAAATAAAATAAAGAATAAACAGACTCGCCATGATAAGGAAAAGGTATCTCCCAAGATTCAGTCAAGAATTGCCTATCCTAATGGAAACTCAAATCAGTAGTAAAAACTCCACACTATTTTCACTTTTCGCCTTTTTGAGAATAGAATGGGAGGACGAAGAGTGAATTTAGAGAATCAGGGTGGCTGAGAATTGAACTCTGGATCCTAGACGAGAGAAACAAGAACCCGCATCCATTAACCACAGTATTAATATGGATCACAGCCACACGATTTCCAGACTAAAATGCCACCAAATCTAAACCGAAATGAAAGATTTTACGCATTCAAGTAATTTTATTCCAAAATTAGAAAAATCAGGATAAAAAGAAAAAAAATACAGGAGAATATCACTGGAGCTGAGCTTCACCTGGTCTGATACAGCAGCAGCAGCAGCAGGGCCCAAGAAAACCTCAATTTCTCCGAAGACTGGTCGAGGATAGAACTAAGGATGCTGTGGGGTTCTCTATCTCATCCAATTGGCTAATTTCTTATATTACAGCTGAAAAAAGAAAAAGTCGATGAATTGTTGGTCTGACAAAGTTTTAATTCCATGCTATAGCTACCGTGCTAGTGAAAGTGTGAAACATGGCATTGGAACCTTTTTTTTTTTTTTTTTTTTCAAACGGCAAAGGTAGTCAACGCGGCAGCCAATGATTTGGGTCTTATCCATTAATAATGATTTGGGTCTTATCCATTAATAAGGGTTTAGGGTTTAAATAATTAAAATTATTAACATAATTAATTATATTGTCTGTATTTAGAAAGATATAAAATTGTTGTACTTGAGATTAAAAAAAATAGAAAAGAAGAAACAAAAAGGTGGAAGATGTCTTGTATTTAGAAAAGAAGAAAAATTTTATTTTCGTCAATGTGAATATTTAAATTGTACTAGATCTTGTATTTTTTTTTATTGTCAAATTAGTTGATTTCTGCATGAAAAGTCTTGGGAATTTATTTTGATAGCACTTAGGAATAAATTTTTGGTGCATTCACTCATATGGAATTTTAAATGTGTTTCCCGCATTTTTTGCTTCGTTTTGCTAAACTTAAACCCTGTTCAGATGTTGGTAAAATGTTTATTTACCTTATTTTGGCAAAAAGAATGGATAAAAAGACAATCTTTTGATCAGGGTTGGGTTGTTTACGATATCATAATATGTTTGTTTGGATTGAGCATTATTTATCCAGTTTTATTTGCTTACATCATCATTACAATTTCCAATATACCTTTTTATCTTCCCAATTATCTTTTTATCTCACATACATCACATCACAAAAAGTGCTACAGTAAAAATATTCCAAATAATCCCAAATAACTTACAATCCAAACGACATTTTCATAATATATATTGAAAGAGAAAATAAATATTTATGGAAGTTGATTTACTGGAAAAAGTGAATTTTTTGGATGTTTGTCTAAAACTTTACTATAGCTTACTGTAGAAATTTTTTAAAAAATTTTTGAAATGTGTTTTTTTTTTTTGAATATTTTGAAGTGTATAGTTTAAAAACTTTGAGAAGTTTTTTGATGTTATTGTAGCTAAAGTTTTTTAAAAAACTTATAACAAACAAACTTGACTGCCAAACAAGGCCCTAGTCGAAAGTTTTCTTCTTTTTTTTTTTTTGTTTCTTTTTAATCTAGTCTAAAGTTGATTTATCAAAAACTTTTAAGTTGTTTCGGGTTTACGTTAATTCTTCTTCCTTCACTAATCTAAATTTCTTCTTCTTCTTTTACATGCGACTATATCAGTGTGGTGATTGGATTGTTATTCATCATGCGCTATTGTTTAGTGCAGCATCAAGTGCCTCTTCTCTCATTGATATAGACACCTTCCACTTGTTTTTTTTTTTTTTTCCATCTTTTCTAATATTTATTGGCAATCACGGCAGCCTTTACCCTTTTTTTTATAAAAAAAAAAAAAAAAAAAAAAAAAATGGTTCCCCTAAAGCACGGTAGGTATAATATGGAAAACAACTTTGTCAAAGCACAATTCACTGATTTTGTTTTTTCACATATAATCTAAGGAATTAGTCCATCCAATTTGGTGGCAAATTAGCAGCCAACGAGGTTTTAATAAATTGCCGTAATAGCACACCAGAAAATTTTAAAACTAAAATAGAGAATAAATAAATAAAAAGGAAGAACGCAAGATTTTACGTTTCTATAATTTTGACTTATTTTCTCATGTAGAAAAAACTGAAAGGCTTTCATTCTTTTAAACTTTAATTTCATTTATGTTAAGAGCAGACCAAAAGGCTAATGCTCTCTTTAATTTTTTTTTTTTTTTCCTTTGGAAAAAAGAAAAGAAAAGTAAAGACCAGCCCAAAAGGAGTAAAACAAAAAGCGGGATTTGAACCCGACGTGAATCGAACACGCAACCTTCTGATCTGGAGTCAGACGCGCTACCATTGCGCCACGGATCCACTTTGTGCAAGTTATGTAAACTTTCATATATCACTATAAATTACCTTAGCTTCACGTACTTGCAAACATTATTATGTTTCCAAAGATAGTTGCAGGCTCTGGTTCGTTCCAAGCTTTCCAGACAACTTTTAATTAGCAACAGACTGAGAAAGGAAAGAGTCACATTCTTATTTCTCTAAAACCCCATCCATTCTTTCACGCAATTTCAACAAACTCATGAAAGAATTCTCTGAGTTGTCATTTCATTAATCAAGAAGCCATTAGAAAAATAATAATAATAATGTTATCTAAAATTAAATAAACAAAGTCAAAAGAGAGAACAATAATAGCTAGCAAAAATTCTTCCGGTCACAATTTCCACAAGACATATACATATATATAGAACCAAGTCCAACTGGCTTCAAATTGATCATGTCCGCACCATCCAAAAGAAATTACAACTCCCTAGTAAACATCTGAATAGAGCAAAAGCAGAACAACCCACAAAAAGAGAAGAAAAAAAAAAAAAAAAAAACCCTTCAAATCTTGGCCAGCTAGCTAATAGTCCTATATATGTATATGCCTTTCTCTAGCTCAGTTGGAGGGAACATGGTAGAATTTCCCTTTACACATGCACCTGTATACAATTGGGCAAGACTCCGAATTTGAGCATTTGAAGCTCACCATAACCCTCTTGCATGGAAAACAGGGTCCGCATGCATGGGAGCAGTCTGGCAGTCTGGACCCTGTAGGATATAGCTCCATCCCCAGTTCACCCTTTCCTCCATCCTGAACCTGAACATTGACAAATACTAACTAGTTGCATATAAGGTCACCAGGGGTGGAGACTAGAGTATCGTATCAATTAGAAGTATGTGAAAAAAGAAAATTCGAGATACAAGGAGTGTGTTTTGAGAGGGAGGGAGAAAATGGGACGAACCTCTTCTTGGAGAATGTGACTTGAATGGCTCCTGTAAGCACCCTTTCCATGGAATGCAACTGATGAAATATATGATCAAGCGGCAATATTGTAAGTAACCAATACTTGTACATCTATTCATGAAAGAGAAATTTGATGAGTTAAAAGATATTGAGGTCAAAGGACTTTACTGATGGCAAGAACCGTGAAGCAAACTGTCACAAGTGCCAATCTGCGCAATCCAACTGAGGGGCAAGTCCTCATTTTCTTTCTTTCCCTTTTTTTTTTTTTTTTTGTCAAATTACGCTAAACGGATCAGAAGAGAAACCTGAAGATTTGCAGTAATATGGGAATAGGAATCTTGCCTTATATATGAAATTTTTTGAGGAGGGTTTTTAATGTAGGAAGCACATCTGTTACAGTGCATCACATGATACATGGCCATCTTCTGAAGATTCACATGCTTTCTTTGACTGATTCACTCGAAATAAATAAATCAAAGTAGCAAACCAATAGTGGAATACGTAGCTTCAGATTTCCTCCTCAGCAGAAACAGAGACAAAAAAACCGCATTCAATGTGAACTATTGGCACGTACGGCCATGTAAGCAAAAAAAAGGTTGCTTCTGAAGAAATTAATGATCGAGCGAGGGAAATTATGGACTTTTGAGACATGAAGCACTATATCCGGACATAGACTTAATTGCAGTCATAGACAAAAGAAGTGGCGAAGGGAAGGAAAGAGACTTAATTGAAGAATGCCTGCCATAAACGTGAAGGTCTGAGGCATGAAATTAAATGAACTTTGTTTCTACTATTTACTCTCACCTCTTCCATTCTCGATGGATGGTGATGTCTCTATGCTATTCTCTTGTTTACAGCTTTAGAGGTAGAAACCAAGTTGACGACGTTACAGTAGGTTAGGATATCTCCTTGCAGTTCCATTAATAGGTGGGAATATATGAAGTTACTGGTGGACAAAGGATGAGAAGAAATTTCAGACTTACATATTGGTTTTATCTGTTCAAGTGAAAAAGCAAGCCTGCAACCCCAACAGACCCTACCTACCTACCTACTGTGCTCACAAGAATACTTTTTTTTCTTCTAACAATGGCTCCATTTATCAAATGAGTTTTTTTCAATGTTTGTCTACTATAACTTATTGTAGAAGTTGTAAAAAAAAATTTTGAATATTTTAAAATATACAATTTAAAAATTTTGAAAAATTTTTTGACATGATTGTAGCTAAAATTGTTAAAAAACTTATAGCAGAGAAACTTGACCGAAAACTTGCTTGCCAAACAAGACCAATGATAACATCTGTATAACCTATTCTATTTTATTCTAGAAGAAACCTAACGAATAAAAAACACCATCGGAGGAAGTAATGGCAAGCGATAAATAGTGACTGATAACAAATAAAATTTGAATTCTTGACCTTCCATCTCCAATCAAGACTTGAGTTTTGGTAACAACCAAAAGATCAAATGGCTGGCTGTTGGCCTATCCTCACAATTATACATGCCATCCGTGTGAGGACCCGTGATTTTCTTAATGTCTAGGTTTTATTTATTTTCTTTGAATGGCACGTTTTTCCGCATTTTCTTTATTTGGAAAATTTTAAAATCTAATTTTATGAGTAAATATAGTTTTTAGATGATTTTTCTAGTATTGAATAGGTTTTGAGAAATTAAGAGCGTATACCGGACGTGGGACCCACTAGTGCGAAAAGTTCGGAAAAATTCGGCCAACTAGGTTAAGTTTTGGATATTGGATTTAATAAATCGGGTGTTAAGAGATAAGTAGAGGTTGCTATTTGGATTGATGTGAGAGGGGACAAAGTGATAGAGGTGCATTAAATGGAGTGACAAGTGTCACTTGGAGATTGGGTTTACCTTTTGACTATTTTTTTTGTTTTTCCATTTGACTAATTAAACCAAAAACTTACCAAAATTAGCTTCATTTTCCAAGCTTGTGGCCGGCCAACCTTAAGGAAGAAGGAAAGAAAAACCTCTTCAACTTCTTGGTTCATTCTTGCTCAAATCCACTAACCCAACCGTTTAATCTTGTTTTTGTTCCATAAAAACACTTAAGGGAGTGGTTGTGAGGTGTTTATTGGAGTAATTTGGAAGATTTAAGTGCAAGGTTGCTCCATTTCTTGGGTTATCAAGGTGAGTAGTGAAGGAACTCCTTTTGTCTTTCCAATAATGCTTAATTAGTAACCTAAGTGAGTTAAAGTGATGATCTTTGGTGTTATTTCATGATTTTGGTTGAGATTGATGACACTTTCTATTTAATTAGGATTTTTCTGTTTTCATATGATTATTATTATGTAGTTATGTATGATGATTGGAAATGGTATATAATGATTCTAGAAGATGGAAAAAGTGAAAGATTGCAAGTAATTTCTGTTTTGGAATAAATCTGGAAAATTAGGGTTCCTTGGTTCTTCATTCTGTCCGAAATTTTAGGTCATAGATAGAGGCCGAATTGGCCTTAACTCAAAATATGAAAGTTGTAGGGAATGACATTTTAGAGGTGCCTACAAAATTTCAGGTCAATCGGAGTAGTGTGGAATGAGATAAGTCGAAATTACTATTGTTGTTCTGGTTTTACCCTAAATTGAGATTTGCGACTGTAATTGGGTGTTTTGGTCTGAATTGCTTCCGAATTTGTTGTTGAGGCCTTCTGATGAAATTTAGCCCTGTTTCTTAGCTTTCAGTTGGTTTTGGAATTTCTGGATTTGGACTTGTAAAGCCTGAGTTATGATGTTTCCGCTAGAATGCGTTTTGGTGAATCTGTTTTACGTTTTTGATGTGGTATCTTGCATTTTTGACCTGTTTGCACTCAAAACTGGGTTGAGTGACCTTCTGTGATGTTGTAGCCCTGTCTTTTAGCTTCGAAATTGTGAGTCTTATACCTTCATCCGATAATTCTAGGGCATTTGGTGCCATTACCGCAAAAAGAGGTCAAAAACTGTTTTTTCAAGGCCAAAGCTAATTGCATTTCCGAATTTTCTGGTTTTCTCTAATGTTTGTATATATTTATGGAACCCTATTGGGGTCATATTTGGCATTGATTTATGATTCGTTATCGAGTCTCATTGTACTTGTTTACATGTTTTAAGGCTTACTCTTATTCCGGTCATTTCCTAGCTAACTTTTGTACTTGTACTACTTTGAGCCTAGTGAACGGCTTTTGGGAAATGAGATGAATTTTGTGTGAGATATTGGGACTGATTTGAGGAAATAATGAATCCATAATGGCTGGAAAATAGGTAAAAACAAGGGATATGCTGCCGAAATTTTACTTGAAGGCTAGTTGGATTTACTTGTGATTTGAGCAAAGGGCTTTTGGGTTGTTTGCGCCTAGGTCTTCATGTTATCTTTTCGTTTCCAAGAAAATCATGTTTTCTACCCTTGCATTAGTATTTAGTTGGCAAGGCGTACGACGTGTAGTCGAGCCTCACTTGTGCATTCCGTTTACTCGATTTTGGATATGAAACCTTCAATTAGTTTACTTTGATTATTTTAGGGTTTCTTGGCGATTAAGGCCAATCTGAAATGAAAACTTTTGAAATTGAGCCGGTGAGTGTACCACTCCCTTCCATTGCTGTTTAACTTGATTTCTGCTCTGCAATCTGTTTATTTGTTTGAGACGAGAGTGTACTTTATCACACTCGTTCTCTTGTCTGTTCATATGCCAATTTACTATGCAAAATTTGAATCTGTTATCTGTGTCTGCATCTGTTCGGATTTCTATGACCTATGAGCTCAGTCCTGTGGCTAAGTTATTCGAGTCGGGCCGGCAAGGGTCTGGACGATTAGATAACGAACCACGGTAGTCTGTTCGGAGATTTTGGGTATTGAGACCCTTGATTTCGGGTATACTCGAGTATTACCATTTTATTCATTTGAGGTGAGCGGGCCCGGTAAAGGGATGTTTGATGGACGGAATTCGGTGCGAAGTGGGTCTACGGACGCGTTGGTTCTATATACGTTGACGGAGAGTCAACCGGTTTGGATCAAGTACTGCGCTGGAAATTTAGCTCCTGAGAGCCACTTGTATCCTTCCTATGTGAATCATTAGTTGCTTTACTTTACATCTGGCATGTGTATCTGATTTGTTAAATGTGAAATGCCATGATTTTCTGCTATATGTTTGGTACCTCATTGAGCGCAAGCTCACCCCTTTCTGTTCCTTTTGTTTTCCTTACAGGAAAATAAATACTTTTGGACTGGATTTGACAAATGGCTGCCAAATTGAGCTAGTTGAACATATCTTTTGTATAACTCATGTATTAAAATCTTAAATGTATTTTTGGGAACTGTTTTCCTTTTGATTTGGCAAACCATACATGTATCCACTTTTGAATACTTTTGTATGCCACTTTGGCTTGTAAATGCTAAGTTTCAAGATGGGAATGTTTGCTTGGTATTTGGTTGGATTCTGACGGGTCGGTTACTATTCATAGCCGACTTCGATTTTATTTTTATTTTTATTTTTTACCCGTGTTGGTAAGTTTCGAGATGTATTAGCTTGTTCTATACCGAACCGTTAGTCCTGGCAAGAGTTGGGCAGGCGACCCGCCGAACCCTCTGATTCGCCTTAGGGGGAGGTGGGACCGTCACAATCCGGCCATTCAACTTTCTAAACAAAAAGCAACAAAAGAATAAGAAATAATTGTTTGGAACATGACTGCCATCCTTGGCAAGAGGGACCTGCGTATTTCGTCCTTAAGTTGGGGATGTGTACCGATTGGTGCCCTGTGTTTTTAACCAAAGAAACTTGAGTTCTGGTCATTAAAATTTTGTAATTTCAACTGATAAAAGAACAATTGCTGAAAATGATCCAACAATGATTATGTCTGTATGGTCCTTTAATTACAAACTATGAGTTCAAGGTTAGAGAAAATTAGCGTAGATAACCCCTCCATTAAAAGCCCATATACCATTCAACCACAATTTCACCTTTTACGCACCCAAATGCTACCAAAGAAAATTCAGACTATATCTTTACATGGCTTGTCTTTACCAAAAACAATAATAATAATATTACTAGTACAAAAAAATCATCCGTGAAGCCAAAACTAAAAACAACTAATTCTTCTTTCTTTTTTTTAAGGAAAAGAAAAAAAAAAGTTACACAGCTAATTGAATATCCCCCAGATCAAGCTGAGCAGCAATATCCTCAAGTTGCTTCTTCACACTCATATCGATCAATTTTGACCCGGAGAGCCCATACCTAATCGTAAACCCAGCCACAAGAGACGGGTCGATTACAGTCTTAATCCTCACATTCTTGGACCCAGTCAATCTCTGGACCCCCTTCGCAATTTGGGCCAAATGCTGGGAGTCCAATTGC